GCGTCATAATAATATTGTTCGATACGCGCGCATGCAAATCGGAATGCATTAATGTATACTAAAATGTTTACTTTTGGAAAAGTATTGAAAACGAGAAAAAAAAACAGCAACAAATATTTTACATTATTTTAGGTCAAGATTAAACACAAATGATTGACAAAAGACAATGATTGGCAGGCAATGGCAGTATCTAAATTCTATACTGGATAAATCAATTCTGCCAAGAAGAATTCTGTTTAGGAGATTTAAATTTGTATGGAAAATCAAGATCTACTTCACAAGGGTTGGCAACATAGCTTTAAAATTCTGTTATAAAGAGTGAAACGATAGACAAATTATTGTATTGACGAAGAAACAATCAAAAAACACCGCATTCGAGTCACTCAAAACAAACAACGTGAGGTGATAGTACATAAAATGCTCCGGATACCAATTCGTTGGGCTATTGTGTCTGGAGTAGTTTGGAAAGCAAGGTTGGCACTAACAAAATACCAAAGTGTCGATCACCTCAAGCAAGCGCTTCGCCGGTAATGGGCCAAAATACCGCAGAGCAACATTCGGGCAGCGTGTGACGGTCTCATTGGCCGTTTGAAAGCCATAATTCAAGCCAAATGTGACCAATTCGAACAAATCTAAACTTATTCGAAAATTTGAAGCTATTTTCGACATTTTTTGCTTTCATTCAATAAAATTTAAAAACAATGTAAAATCTCACCCTGTATAACGATAGCCATTCATATTCGGTATTTTGATAATTCTAGTCACATTTACCCACGAAATTGTTTCAAATTTGGTATTTAAGAAGATTTCGTACATAACAATCCTTGAGGTATATAACGGCCTCACCCACTTTATGGTTTTTTGAGAAAGTTAACAGTATTATCCAAACGGTCTCATTGCTATTTGTAGTTTAAAGTAGAACACGTTTGAATTCACAGACTTTTATATCAAAAGGTTTTCTTTACCTAAAGGCATGGTAGAAGAATATAGGTAGACGCGTCGACACAGCTGCTGGGACAATGAACTGTCAAACCAATTTTGGAATTGAAAATGTTGAATGAAATTTTTTTAAATTTGTAAAAATTGTTGAAAGACGCGAATTATAATAGCCTCCGATTGACGTAGTTTAAGAAAAAATATAAAAATCTACTTATATTTGAAAAACATTTAAATTTTTTGACATATCAATGCTCCCAAGCGTTGATGCATCTACCTGTATTCTTCTGTCATGCCTAAAGGTGTGTTGGGTATTAAAAGTTCGACCCGGCCGAAGTTTTGTTTTTTTTTTACTTGCTCAATTTTATACAGGAAATAATTTCATTTTACTTTTTTATAGAATTGATTTCAACCTCGTGGATTCGAGTAATTGTCTTTCAGATTTGTTGGACCACCCTATTCATTCCTTTAGCTTTTTGCAAACATTTTTTTTAATTGAATATTTTAATTGCGGGTTTATAATTGCAATGTATATTTTTCAAGTCTCCATTCTTTCCGCAATTATTTAGTACAGGAGACGCCACGTGCGTGAAATTAAAGACGCCACGTGCGTGAAATTAAAGATGAGATTTGGCTGGCCCAAGTCGGAGGCTGGCCTCCGACTTGGGCCTTGTTTCTTAGAGAAACAAAGCAAAGACCTAAAATGGTAATGACTAGACAAAATGCATTCTGAGCAAATGGTTTGTGTCTATACTGTCTAGATAACAGCTCATGACAGGACCATGTTAATATAAAAACCATATTTTTAAAAAAGAAATTGACAAATAATAATTTGAAAAATTCAAAAATAGGATTTCAAAATTCTATTCCATAGACTTTCCCAATTATTTACATATTTCGTAGACGGTTTAAATCAGTTAACATTGCTAACTATGTTGTTACGATATCATAACAACAGAGGTATTTTTACAGGGTTGCCATATTTTGACTCTGTCTTGTCCCATCTTTATACTTCTATGTCTTTGAACAAAGGCGTTTAAGGTTGACTTAGTTCGATTTTAGCCCTACTCTCTTTTGTTATTTTCCAAAGAAGCCAGCCGATGACTTAAGCCAGCCAAAAAAGCGTTTTATGTATTCTCACCTTAAGAGACAAATGAGTGAAGACTTTGCCTAAAAAAAGGATAACGTCTCAACCCTTTTGCCTGCAAAACACAGGACCAAACAGGCCTTATCACTTTTAATGTGGATTTCCAAAATCTGGAGCAATATTTTTTTAGTAAAAGTTTTCCATATATATCTACGCATTCTTTTGTTTCTCTTTTTTTCTTTTCTGATGTTTTGGAAAACAATTCTGTTTACATTAATTATATTTATCTTTTGTGTTCATTGTATGTGGGTGTGTGTGTGTGCAACAGTTAATAAACTGATGGTGTTGGATTTAAGATTTATAGATTTGCTATAATTTTTTTTTAATTTTTCTGCTGTTGTTGTTGTTGTTAGTCATTTGCTTTCATGCCTTTAGCTTTGCGTTACCATTTATTTTTAAAACATCATTTCCTCCAGAACAACTGAATACAAGAATGGATAGACAGACAGTCCGCCAGCAAATATTCAGTCCATCAGCAGAGTAAATTCGAAACATATTTTCAATCAAAAACTCAAAATAATAACAATAACAATCATTTTTACGTGAAAAAATATTCCAAGCTAAAAATAATGTGTGCAGTTATTTCCTATTTTTTTTTCAAGGAGGCTGTATTTATGATTTATTTGGGCGCCAGTGAAAATTGCACCAAGAATTTTATTATTATGTTTATAATTATTAAGAATATGATGCATAAGCAGATTGGCATCGTAGCATGCCACACTAATGTCAAATTATAAAAGAAGGCGATGGTAGGATTCGTCATAATACCGAGCAGCTTATGTCTGTAAAACATTAAATTAGCAAGTTTGGCCATAGATAAATATATATAGGTATAGGTCAAGAAAAGCTCTCACTGGGTTGCTTATTTTCGAACGCCAATAAATAAAAAATGTTCAAAATATTGTTTATATAATCCCAAAAATTGTCTTCGGGCCAAAATCGAACTAAGACAACCTTTGTTCTTCTACGAAGAGTCCAGCAGATGGCTTAAACTAGTCAAAAAAGCCTTTTATGTACTCTCACTTTAAGTTGTTTGTTTTGAGTGACTCGAATGCGGCGTTTTTTGAATTTTTTCGTCAATACACTCATTTTTCTATCGTTTCACTCTTTGTAACATAATTTTAAAGCTGTGTTTGTCAAATTTGTGAAGTAGATCTTGACTTACCATACATATTTAAATCTTCACGGAAGAATTCTTCTCTACAGCTTTTATTTATCCAGTACAGGGTGAGATAAAAAAACTGGAACAAAGTCAAACGCCAAAATTTTTCAATTTTATTGAATGAAAGCAAGAAATGTCGGAAATAGCATCAAATTTTAGAATACGTTTAGATTTGTTCGAATTGGTCACTTTTGGCACGAATTATGGTCTTCAATCGGCCAATGAAACCGTCACACGCTGCCCGAATGTTGCTCTGCGGTATTTTGGCCCATTGCTTGAGGTGATCGACACTTTGGTATTTTTTAGTGCCAACCTTGCTTTCCAAAATACCCCAGACACAATAGTCCAACGGATTAGTATCCGGAGATTTTGGTGGGCATTGTGCGCTGGAAATGAAGCGAGTAACCGCGTTTTGTAACCATTCTTGGGTGGCGCGTGCTGAGTGTGATGGTGGTGCTGAGTCCTGTTGGAATGTCCAAGGTCTGCGGCCGAAACTGTTTGCGTATCCAAGGCTTTAATACACCCTCCAGAATATTTTCGCTATAATATTCGGCATTTATTCTGATGCCAAGTTCGATTAATATAATCGGAGTGCGACCATCGGCTGTTATGGCGGCACAGTCCTTGAGTTCTGGTGGCCAACCGAAGGTGATCATTTTCAGCTGACCTCTTTGGCAAGTAAACACGATCATTTTGTTTGTTTACAAAATGCTGGACAACGAATGTTTTCTCATCGGAGAAAACCAAAATCGGCAGTTCAACACTTTCGGCCAAGCGAAGCAAGTCTTTAGCTCTTCTGAGCCTATTTTCTTTCTGTTGCGGTGTAAGTTCTTGCACTTTTTGGAATTTCAATGGCTTTACCCCGAGCTCATTTTTCAATATTTGCCGAATGGAATATTGCGATATGTTCAGCTCACGAGCCATTTTTCGGCCACTGCGACGCGGGTTTTGATCAAGTCGCTTTATTTTACTTTTGGAACCATTTCTGCTGATGTTGTTGCTTTCTTCCGTCCACTTCCTTGACGCCATGCTACGCTACCAGTATCACGGTAACAAGCGATGCTACGAGACACAAAAGATTTATTCACATTTAAATGCTGGAGTTCTCTAACGAAAGCCACTTGTAGTTTTCCAGCCAAATATAAAGAAATCACACTGTCACGCTTGAATTCCATCAGGAATAATTTTTTGTCTGGAAAATTCTCACTAAAATGATTTTGGACGCATGTAGACAATATAATGAGCTGACACTGGTATAATTTTAACAGCTGTCGGGGAAGTGGCTTAGAAATGACAGCAGTCTGAAGTTGGTTGCAGTTTTTTCATCTCACACTGTATTGTCATATCCATTACTTACACTTCAAATAAATCCTCTTGAAGTAGGTTAACTCTGCAAAAAGTTCTAACGTGAACATAGCATTATATTTTTTTAGTAAATTTAATGAATTTGAATTGTCTAACAATCCCCACTAACTTTAAATAAATCATATATTTTTTTAAACAATAATGAGAGCTTTAAATACTCGAAGATGATTTTCTTTTCAATGAAATATTCGACCTTGTCGTTTATGGCCTTTTTTACCTGTAAATATTGGAATTTTTAAGAACTTACTAAAAAATTCTAAAATTTCCCATTATTGATAGTTGTTTTCTTTTTTTTTTTGCATTGGAATTTTTATTGTTTCCATATGAGCGATAGAAAAACAAAAATTAAACCTTGATTTTTTTTATTATTTGTTTTGTTTCTCTTTCTAGGAAGAACGAAAGGCCAATGGTCGTATGGTGGCCGTCATTATAGCCTCACTTGTGATATTTTGTGCCGTTTATCAGGCGTGGATAAAGAAATCCGTACATTTAGCCGGTGTACTGGTGCCGGCACTTATAATGCTCTCATTTGCCGGTTGGGTTGTGATTTTGTCAAAACGTGACAAAGCCAAGAGGGCACTTTTTGTAAGTATTGTTTGTAGATGTTTGTAGACGCCTTTTTGCCTGGCTAAAGTCATCGACTGGCTTCTTTGGAAAAAAGGAGCGTAAGGTCAAAATCGAACTAAGTCAACCTGAAACTCTTTTGTTCAAAGATAGAGAAGTATAAAGATATGACAAGACAGAGTCAAAATATGGCAACCCTGTGAAAGTGTCTCTGTTGTTATGATATCATAAAAACATAGTTACAAATTTTCACTGATTTAAACCGCTAAGACATAATACACATTTTAAGGAAGGTGTACGGAAGAGATATTTGAAACCACATTTTTTGATTTTTCAATTTTTATTTGTCATTCGTTTCTGTAATCGTGGGTTTGTCTTTGTCATGAGCTATTACTCAATGTATTGTAGACAAAAACAATTTGCTCAAAATGCATTTTGTCTAGTCTTATAATTTTAGGTCTTGTATTAAGCCAACAAAAAAATAAAAAAAAAACGATTTATGTATTCTCACCTTAAAATTCATAATTATATTCCTTTGTTTCATGTAAAAAAAAAAAACAAAGGAATATAATTTTTCTTTTGTTCAAATTCAGGCCATTTTTGAGCTAGGGTAACCTATATCAAATTATGGCAAAGACATAGAAGTATAAAGATAGGACAAGACAAAGTAAAATATGGCAACCCTGTGAAAAATACCTCTGTTGTTATGATATCGTAACAACATAGTTACCAATGTTAAGCAACTTAAACCGCTAAGGCAGTATCCAATTATTTGGGAAGGTATATGGAATAGAATTTTGAAACCAATATTTTGGATTATACAAACTTTTATTTGTCATTCTTTCCTATAATTGTGTTTTTTTATATTAACATGCCTCTGTCATGAGCTGTTATTCAAGGTAGTATAGCCACAAACCATTTGCTCAGAATGCATTTTGTCTAGTCTTTACCATTTAAGTCTTTGATTATGGTATAAAGATGGGACAAGATATAGTCAAAATATGGCAACCCTGTGAAAATACCTTTATTGTTACGATTATCATAACAACATGGTTACCAATGTTAACTTATTTAAACCGCTAAGGCAATATGCAAATTTTTGGAATGGTCTGTGGAATAGAATTTTGTAACCAAAATTTTAGATTTTTCAATTTTTTTGTTTCTGTAATTGTGGTCTCTGCCATGATCTGTGACTCTATGTATTGTAGACACAAACCATTTGTTCAAAATACATTTTGTCTAGTCTCTACCATTTTATGTCTTTGATTATGGTCCAAATTTAAAATGTTAGGTATTACGTGTTTTTTTTTTTCAAAAATTAGTGGATTTTCATAAGTTTTCTTATACAACACCAATCCAAGGTGGCAATCATATGCATTTTTTTTAAGAATTTTTACAAATTTTAATATTTCTCCATTAAAAATGTTCAATTTCAAATTTGGTTTGACAGTTCATTGTCCCAGCAGCTGTGTTGATGCGACAACCTGCATTCTTAAGGGTGCAAGTACATAAGAAGCTTGAAGTCATGGCTAGGCATATTTTGTGACATTTCATAAAGGGATTACAGAGCCGATCTAAAATCCTGCCGTCGTTTTCCGTTATAATTTGACATTAATATGCCTAACCATGATTTCAAGCTTTTTATGTACTTGCACCTTTAAACCATGCAAGTGACCAAACACCATGGTAGAAGAATACTGGTAGACGCATCAACACCGCTGCTGGGACAAATGAACTGTTAAATCAATTTTGGAATTGAAAATTTTTTTTATGAAAAATTATTTAAATTTGTAAAAATTGTTGAAAAATGCATATCATAACAATCTCTGATTGATGTCGTATAAGAAAACATATAAAAATCGGCATATATTTGAAAAAAAACAAAATATATATTTTAAAATTTTCGACATATCAAAGTTCCCAAGCATGGATGCGTCTACCTTTATTCTTCTACCATGCCAAACACAATAAATTAAACCATGACCATGTTGATCACGGTAAATCCAGTTAAATATTTCTATGTGAATACAAGAATAAAGAAAGATAGGGATACCTAGTTCAATTTGTTATCCAAATTAAAGTAGGACAAATTGAATTCTTTAATTGAACAGCCAGCTTTATTGAAGACAGCGGATGACTTAAGCCAATCAAAAAAGCGATTATGTATTCTCACCTTAATTATAATAAATTTGATTAAGCTGCTATCAGACGATAAGGGTTTTACCGCAAACTTAATTTTATTTATTTTTGCACGACAAACAATCAACATTTTTGATGAAATTATATTTTCCCATGAAAATAGGGCTCGCTGTGATCGAAAAAGTACAAATGTCTTTACTCATGTATTCACAACTGAAATGTCGCCCATGTATCACACGATTTGTGCAAATTTACAAATGGACAATTTTACACTACATGTGTAAAAAACATATCGTCTGATAGAGCCTTTATAGTAAACATACGTTAAATCTAGTGTGATTTGTCAATTATCACGCATTTGTGTAAACACGCTATTAAATTATGTTTACATACAAATATTTATCCCGGCTAACCCTGATAATTATTTACAATAAATTTAGCTCTGTAAGGCATAACTACAATTTATTTTGATTGATTAATTATTGCGGTTAAACTGAGTAAACATTTCGCCCTATTTGGCCCTTAAAAATAAAAAATTGCTTTCCCCTAATAAAAACCCCACCTTCACTCTCTTTCAGGATAAATATATGGAAGAAATTGCCCAAAAGAACAAAGAAGAACTGGAGGCGAAGAAGAACAATCACAAACATCGGAAACCCAACGAACGGAAATCTTCAAATGAGACTGTCTTAGAATTTGTCAACGAAATCCATAAGGGTCCTGCGAATTCCGGCTCCAAAGAGGTTTTAAATACCACCCGGGCGGTACGGAGTAAGGATCATCGTAAACATCGAAAATATAGAAATATAGATGGTCTGTTGGACTCATCGGCAATACCATTGCCATCGCGTTATCCAGCACACAAAGATTTGCGCACGAAAAGACCTAGCATACGACAGAAACTTTTTCGACAAACTGGTCTCTATCATATGTCAGCAGCATCGGCAGTAGCAGCGAATAGTACACGCACACTGGTACAGGCTGTCATCAATAGCAGTGGTACACCGGTGCAGCCGATCGCACATATAGGTGATGCTGTTGTAATGGTGCCCACAACGACGGCAGTTAATCCTACACCAATTGCTTTGGAAAATAAGCGCAAACAACAAATGCAACGTCTAAAAACGATCCAAGAACCGACCATGGTGCGTATGGGTTCAGAGCCATAATGCATTTCGTTGTATTACTTATACGTCACGTCATGGTCGAAATGGTGAAGGGACACTGGGGGTGGAATTTACGTCCTATAAATACTAATACGCTCCAAGGTCCACCACATGTACATAAATAGGAAAAACCCAAACAAACAACAATGTAGAAGTTATAAATTGTTTAATGATTGTCTTAAATTGCAATTTGTATATTAAATGTATTTTTGTATAATGAAATCTAAAATTAGAATCTAAATGTAAGATAAATAAATCAGCAATGTTTGCATTTTGAAGAAAATAAATGTTTAAGTCCAACAAAAGTTAAAGAAGTGTTTTTTTTAATTTTAATTGCTTTTGCAAAGGCATTTAATTCATTCACTGTGAATGATTAGTCAAATGGTCCAATGATAACGAGACTTTTACACAAGACAAATTATCGTGAATCCGGTTTGTATTTTACTACCACACACAAACATGGGCCCATTGTTCTCCCTATTGTCTAACAGTTAAAAACCCGTTATTTTTGAGAAAGAAAGAAAAGTGAAGAAAGTGATTCATTTTTAATGACTTTTAATTGTTTTTTCGAAGGGGTTTAATTCATTCACTGTAAATGGTTAAACATACTACTCAATGTTATTCTGACGTTTACACATGGAAGAAGAATACAGGTAGTGGCATCGACGCAGCTGCTGGGACAATGAACAAATTTTAGAATTAAAAATGTATTTGATTAAAAAATTTAAAAATTTATTTCATTTAAAAAAATTGACATATCAATGTTCCCATGAGTTGATGCATCTACCTGTATTCTGCTGCCAGGCGTTTACACAAGACAAATTGTCTTGAATCAGAGTTGTATTTTACTACCTTTTGTTTTCCTTACTATCACAAAGACAGTAAACAATTGTTGACATTACAATCATATTAGTGTAACAATTAAATAATGAAAATGTTTTTATATCCTCAGCTATACGGCTAGAAATATCGGTTTCAGACCCTAGGTCAATTTGGACTAAATCCGCTTCAGGAGATTTGGAGTTGACCTTGCGTTGTCCGTCCGATTTGGTTCAAACTTGATACATGGTTCACTCCTTTCAATATTGGTTCACTCCTTCTCGTACCACCCTCACAAAACGACGAAATTAAAAAAAAAACAGAACGAGATAGAATAATCCGATTTGGCTTCAACTTTGCAAATCCTAATATTTGCATCAATGCTACGTCAGCTGCGAAAATGGACAATATCGGTCCACTCAATCGAGTACCTCCCTCACAAAGGGTCAAAATTTTGAATAATTATAACTCTTATAAAATGCGATGTAAGTGTCCAATTGTGTTGGATTACTCCACGTTTGTTAAACCTAGGTCTGGTGTGAAGATGCAATATATCGGTCCATTCCTTCTGGTACATCCCCCACAATGGGTCAACATTTAGAGTATCCATGAAGCGAAATTAACGCCCGCTTTCATTCAGACTTGGCACATCTCAATATTTCTATCTACACAAGGTCTGCTGTAAAGATGGTGGAGATCGGACCATTCCTTATTGTACCTCCCCCCAAAGGGTCAAAGTTTTGAATAAGCAAAACGATCATAAAATCCGAAATAAGCATTTGGTACTCTTCATATTTCACACATCCCATTTTTTCTACTAACACAAGATCTGCTGTGAAGATGTGATATATCGCTCCACTCTTTCTGGGAATTCCCCCCAAACGGTCATAATTTTGAATATCCATGAAGCTTATAAAACGTGAAATTAACATCCGATCCCATTCAGACTTGGCACATCTCAATATTTCCATCAACACAAGATCTGTTATAAAGATGGTAGAGATCGGATCATTTGTTCTGATCCCTCCCCCACATAGGATTCAAGATTTTAAAAAACAAAACGCTTAAAGAAAGCGAAGAGAGCATTCAATTCTCTTCAAATTTCACACATACAAACATTTTTCCTAACACAAGATCTTGTGTGAAGATGATATATGTCTCCGAATCCCCAAGGGTCCCAATTTTAAATACTTTTATCTGTTTGCTATTTTCAAATATTTCTCACAACCGGAAACCTGCGATGAATATGAAGTTTATGATTTCGCATAAAATTGGATATAAATGTTCGATTTTCTTGTAATTTTTCCCATGCCAATATTTTTATCTGTATTAGATGAAGTAACAACGTGGAATACTTCGGACGACTATATCTGGCATCCCTCGCATATTTTAACATTTTTTAAAAATTATCACATATCTAGAAGTCAAAATATATTTAAATAATCGAACATTGTTTGGGGATATACTTGTTTTTATTATTAAATTGCAGAGCTGGTAACCCTTAAACAAATCAGACGCATTGTTTTAAAGCGGAAAATAAATCAAATTTTAAATTAAATTAATTTTTTGAAATTTCAACATTAGGGCATCAGAATTGCATCTCCTGTGCATGAATGATGCCTACATCTTTACCAGATATGGAGTTTGACGTGGTGGAAGAGGTGGCGTCAACTTCCAACAACACTGATTTTTTGGCACAGCCAGGTAAAACAACAACAAACCTAGTCAATGCAAAAGAACGCAAACGAATGCGAATTGACAACGAGATTTCACCATTAAACATCGACATTTCTGAACTGAAAGAAAAATTGACTAACCACGAACCTCTAGACCAAAACAGATTTGGCATCCTTAGTGTATTAGCTGATGTCAATATACAAGGTTCCTCTACTGTCAATGAAACACAAATCAAACCAAACCCGCCAAAAGGAAAACCACAGCCACAACCAAAAACAAAATGGTGTCCCCCCATTTTTGTATTTAACGTCAACATTAAAACACTAGTTGATACTCTCAAAGAATCTGTCCCAGAATCTGGGTTTAAAGTGAAAAATGTCAACAAAAACAAAAGCAAGTTGTACTTTGCTGACCACAAGGTGCACACTTCAATGATGTCCCTCTTGAGAGAGAAAGGTATTCACTCGTATTCATTTACTCCAAAGGAATTAAAACAGGTTGGCTTAATTTTGAGGGGCCTTTATTGTTACAAGGACGGAAATGAAATTAAAGCCGAGTTAGACTTACTTGTCCCAAACACTGTGGCATCAGTCACAAACTTCACCACTCCCCTTTCGGTTAAAAAGGGAGTTGACACAGGTTTATTCTTAGTGTCATTGTTGCCAGGAAAGAAACCTGGAGATGTTAATCACATTGAAAGCATTTGGTACCAGGACGTATACTGGGAAAAACCCAACAGAAAAGACAGCGAGACCCAATGCCACAGGTGCCAGAGGTGGGGTCATATCTCGCGTAACTGCAACTCTGAATTCAAATGCGTTAAATGCGACAAACTCCACGAGCCTGGTAATTGCCAGAGAGTACGATCTGAATCTTCAGATCCATATTGCGTAAATTGCCAAGCTTTTGGACACCCGGCGAATTTTAAGGGTTGCCCAATTTACAAAAAATATATTACATCTAAAAAGACTCAAATAAGTAAAATGCAGGAAGAAAAAGCCACAGCTATCAGAAATGTTAAAGCCGTTAGTATGGCATATACATCGCCACACAAACCGTTTGCTAGTCATTTTAGACAGAATGAAAACAACTCAACCATTCAGAAACCACCAATAGTGACAGATTTCTTAAAACTTGCTGATTACTTTTTGGAACCTGAACAAATGTCACTTGAACAAGAAATTTCTATATTTTTAAAAGATTTTAAAAACATGGAAAAATCAAAAGCCAGAGTAGAATTCCTTAGAATTCTTAAAAAAGTCAAGCAGCAATATGATCCATAGAATGTTTAATTTATTGACATTCAATGTTAGATCTATTAATGACAAAAGTAGACAAATAGACCTGCAAAGAACGCTTTCGGCCAATAACATCGATGTGGGATTTATCCAAGAGTGCCACCTACGAAGAAGCAGGAAAGTTAGAATAGATGGATATGATATTGTTAATGATAACTCACCCATTGGCGTAGCCGTTTTAATAAAAAAGTCCATATTGCACACAAAAATTGTTATCAGTGATGTCGGCGTAAAAACATGCATGATTCAAATTGAATGTCTACAAAATTCAGTTCGAAAAAAAATCGCGTTGGGATCATTATACGTCCCTTGCAATTATCCTGCTCAGCAGCTGGAAACTGATCTAGATAAACTCATGCAAGTGTGTGCAAGTTATGACGGCTTTATTTTTGGTGGGGATTTAAATTCAAGAAACCCAGACTGGGGTGACTCTGCAGAGAATACCAACGGAAAATCTTTGAAAGCTTGGCTGCAAACAAACATATTAGACGTAGTTCGAGTATGCGATGTGTCACCGTCATATCCGAATGGCCCTTCCTATTTGGATCATTTTCTTGTCAGCTCCAATCTGCTGGACAACATAACACCAAACTTCGTAATTTCCTCATTACCATCATTTTCGGACCATTTCCCGTTAAAAATGTCAATAAAAATGGATTGTACCGACTTGATTTTAAATGCTCCTCCTTCATATATTTCCTACAAAAATACAAATTGGGAGAACTTCCGTAGGGATCTTGAAAACGCTTCTCAACACATCTTACCTTCAGCAGAAACTAATCTTAGTAATGAAGATATTGATGGATTAGTTGACTCCTTCAACAGCTGTTTCAACTCAATCCACGATGCCCACTCACAGATAATCACAATCAACAACGGCCTCTTTCCTCTCTCTGAGAGATCCAAACGGCTTTACAAAGTAAAACATCAATGGCAGAAAGAATTAAAAAAGATATTTCATAGAACAGGAAATAGAATGAGCAGCGATTACCGCATATTATCCAAACAAATTCAGCTTCTGAAAGTAGTAATAAAAGAATCAATAAGCATCGAACAAGCTGACACATTCAACAATCGTCTTCAAGATATTAAACCTGGCCCATCTGCTTTTAAAGAGATTTATAAGTTCAGCGGCAGAAAGAAATCCCCGTTCTGCCAGCAATTGCAGGTCAATAACACCACTGTTTTTAATAATTCTGAAATTGCAAATCATTTCCACCAGTACTATACGTCTTCCTTTCAAGAAACTATAACTGGACTTCCAACGGATATTCTTCAATCTAGAATTTCTTCTTGTCTCACATCCATATCTCCAAGTATATATTCATTCGACAGACAGTTCAACTCAATATCAAATACAGATAATTACCATTTCGCCAATCCTGAAAAAATCAAAGAAATTATGCAAAAGGCCAATAATAAAAAGTCAAGTGGAGTTGATGGAATCTCAAACTTTGTTATGCGCAAATTTCCTGAAACTGCTCTGCGAATTATAACATG